ACTCCAAACTCAAATTCTACAGAGTTTTAAACATTAAGAAGTGAATTTAAAGGTATACTGAAATGAAAATTTAAATATACCTCTCATGTTCAGGAATAACTCATACATATTCAACGAAATTAACCAACCACAATCGCACGTTGGTATTTTAAACAGTTGGCTATATTTTTTTCTTGTTTCAAACGGCCGAGTCCAGGGAGCGCTCGAAGAGCATCCATCGGAGAGCGCAAAGCGTCTCTGGAGATTCGACGCCTCAAGCGCGCTCGTGACTTCATGTTTACCTTCAAGTTTACCTTCACGTTTACCTTCGATAGATAACGTCTACTAAAAAATTACCTTTCATAAATAAGAGCAATCGAAGGCGCAAAAAGTGCAGCTCAGCCATAAAAAGACCAGACTTTTAAAACGCCGAAAATAGCGACGAGAAATTCAAAATACTATTAAAAAAACTTCAAGAATTCTTTATTTTTTTTTTCAACAACAGGAGCGGGCTATCGACCAATTTGTCTTTTAAACACCCGTCTGAACGTATGACCCACATGCTACTGGAAAACCCTTTTCATCGCATAGGCAAGACTCTTATCTTTCAAAAGCAGTCATACGTGCCGTGGCTTAGGCATCCTGCTGACTCATGAATTATCAAAAGGAGGCTCGAAACACATCCCTTCTTGCACGTCGCCGCGGAATGCACAGTTGCTGATTAACATATCGTGTTTTCATCTCCACTAGGCGCAATATAATTCCAGTGTTTGTCTGAGTCTTAGCGTCGTAGTCACTATCGCGTGACGTATGTTTGATAATTAATTAACTTATTGCTTTATTTATTTTTGAATATCCAAATCAGAATAGCTTTAGGAAGTGGAAGGTATGTAAAAATAGATCAACAAATTATAGGAAAGAGTAGAATAAAATAACTTATAGCTGTGTTGTTAAAAACTACTTTGTATGCCAACGGTATCAAGATAAAACAAAATGGCAAATTTTTTTTTTTTTTTGCTGACCATCCTCTTACGGTGGACATAAGATTCCCTGCGGGTACAACAAAATAGCGGCACGTTAGCAGCACTCCTGATCAAGCAGAAGTGCCCCCTACTTAAAATTGATGATCGGGCTAGTCGACTACTCATAATACCGCGACGAATAAAGACAAATTATTCAAGGTATGCTGGCCTCGCGCTGCAGGCATTTGACCAGTAACAACCACAAACCTTTGAAACAACAAATACGACTTATATTGTGAAAGGCGCCATTCAGGAGGAACATAGCAATTATGAATACTGCTTCACGCACTAACCTATTCCTCCACCGGAGAGTGCTTGTCTGATGATCAATGATTCCACTTGGTGCTCTTAGACGGGTGACTTCCAATTTCCTTACCCCTTTTCTTCAGGTTCCTTCACAGCTCTGTGTGGTGAACCATCTCTGCTTACGGTCATTATTCGTATCCTTTATATTTTTGTATCTTCCTTTGATCTATTTCTCACCCTTTTGGTGTCTGCAACACCCGCCTTTTTGTGACAAAGTGGCTCCTTCCCCTTTTTCATTAAAGGCTGGCGCTCTGGGATGCAAATTTCAACATAGCTCTTCGCTTCCCATTTGTCAAGGAGAAGTAGCGTCGACTGGCCCTTTTCACAACGGGAAGACCGAAGAGCGCTATGGTTGTTTATTCCAGACAGCTTTCCGATTTCTTGTCGGCACTTTTTTTTTTCTTCTCTGAATTGGATGCCGCCTAAAATACATTCAATAAAACGCCAGAGCCGAGGTTGCCAACTTTCTGTTTATTTATTTATTTTTCTTCAAGATACCCCTAAAAGCCCTCAAGGAAGCGTATAGCGGAAAAGGGGAGGGCGGGGGGAGGGGAATCGGAGAGTGGAGAGATCATAAAATATATTATATAACAAAACGTATTCAAAACGGCAAAGACAAGATAAAAGAATACAAGCTAAAACAAGCTCTAGAAACATCTTCCTAACTCTTGCAAGGAATATTTTGCGTTTATAAACTCCCTGGATTCTATGCTATCTCAAGGTATTGTATAACGTGTCCCAATTTTTTTCTTTTTGGTTCATGCATTTTCAGTCTCAGGTAACGGGGGTAAAAATACAAAGCAAAATCCTTCGGTTAAGTGATCTTTCTTTTTTTCTAATTTACTTTTTTGAAATTATAAATATGTTTCGAAAATCATGGGTAGGAAGAATATTATTATAATTTTACGCACTGAAAGCGCTACACATGCTTGCGCCAGTCATTTATTTTCTACCCTATGAAACAAATGCACTAGCACACTTCTAGCATCGTGCAGCGCTCTAGATAAATCTGTACAAGGCTTTCACCTCATTGTTACAGCGCATTGGAATCTGACCTTGTAGACTTGTCCGGCTGTGCACGTTGTGAGTAAATGTTTAGCCTAAATTAAAACGCCTACGGTTCAATAAAATGACGTGAGAAACGCAGTTTCTTTTTTTTTTTTGCTTTAAATTTAAGTATTCCGGTGGATCAAATTTGGACGCATAGTTATTTGGTTTGCCTGCATACATAACACCATGCTGAAATGCATTGTTCTCGTTCCATGTCTCAGAAAATAAATAAATGTATACCCATCTCTTTGATTTCTCTCCAAATTCGATAGGAGGCTCTCATCGTGGCAGTAATCCCAACTAGCAAGCGCCAGCCATCCTTCTCCTCCTCCTCCCTACCCTGCTATATTTTTTTCCCCAAGAGAAACGAGGAAAATGATCCTGTTAGAGGGAGACGAACCTTCGGTTTCGCCTTTTTATTTTTACTTTAATGTTGTGCTTTCCGAATAAACCCGCTGGCATAGTAGCATTCAAGACTGATTGCACTTTCACGGTAGCGCTCAAGGCTGATTGCACAGCTTATAAGAACGCACCATATTAGTGTCACGGGTCCTTTGGCACGGATGTGGACACCTAGACAATGACTGCTTCCGTTTCGCTGTCGCAACAAAAAAAGACAGTTCGTCTGATTCCCGCTTTTCCAAACTCCACGTAGTTGCTCTTTTCCATGATGAGCATCTTCTAGAGAGAAGACCAGCGCCTCTCGAAATGAAGGGGCCCGGTTGCAACACACTAGCCAATATAGATGAAGACAGACTGAACCGCACAAATCAGCCAAACTGATTGCACGTGGTCTCGCTATTCTTCAGTGATTGCGAAAGATAGAATGAGGTACGACCCTTGCTACGAGGTTGGCACACGATTTCTTGTGAAGCAGTTCGTTATTTATGAGCGGCATCGTGCCAAAGTTGACATTCCGAGTCTCGGCTGCGAAACACGTCTTTTGTATTCCCTTCCTTACAATACTCTGACTGACTGCACCTCTCGCGTTCCTATAAACCCCTTCGTTGTCTTAGCTATGGGTAGACTGGCGTTCAGTTTTGCTTCTAGAAGCTTTCTGGTTTAGAGGACGAAGGTTTTTGTTCCTCCTACACTCTTAAAAAAACTGTAGAATGTTGCTAATTGCAGCAGATATTGCCCTTTTATAACCGTTACCACCTTTTTACTAGCTATTTACTACCTGAAACGAGCGACAGATTGTAGAAATTGGTAACTCCAGCAGGTAATACCTTTCTCTGACATTTACTATGTTTTTACTAGGCATTTATTACCTCAAACGTGAGACACGTAGTAACTGCAGCTGATACTGGCTGAAAATGTTGAGCAAGTAAGCACCACTGATGCCTGAAATACTGCACCTCGTATACTTGGTTTTCTTTCTATAAATAATGATTGGAATATTTTTGATAGCACTAAATAGTTTCAAGATTTTCAATGACACTGCCTAATTATTGTATTTTTTGTAAATAAATGAATAGCACCTAAAAAGGGGTGGCATAAATTAAATAAACGAAACATATACCCGAACAGCAATATAAAAACTTTTTTTTTGTATTATTTCTAGCATTTATGGTAACGGGCGCCAGATAGAAAAAAAATAACAACAACTTTATATAAAAAAAATCCGGCTTAGTACGTTATCTATCATAAAACACCTTTCCCTCAGTGTAGGCTCAGGAGGATGTGTACTTCGTCAATCACTTGATATGCCGAAGATTTTTTAAAGGTGTCTTATTGCCTTTTGCCCCGATAAATATAAAATGCACGCAGACAGAGATTGCTGGCGGTCCCGGATCAACATCAACACACACCAACGCGCTTGCCATGAAATAATCTTATAGGAAGCTCTTTCTATTCACTATGATATGACAAACGACCTAGCTACTCAGAGGGCGGAAGAGTAACAAGGACCGTGTACGCGGCTTTCGACTTACTTAGTGCAGGCTGCTCGACTTTTTAAATGATTAGGATATATCGTTGACAGTGGCTGGGGGCACAACCATATCAAACCCATTTCGTTTCACACAGGTTGCCACAATTCCCGCCACAGCACTGTTCGAGCTCGAAGGGACACTGGGGTCGCGCGTGCTTGTCACGTAATGGATTTCATTCCCAAAACTATAAGTTCTGAGAAGTTACCGGAATGTGCCAGGTTTGGCTAGTACTCTTGATATAAATCAACGCGCTTTTTGACAAAGAAATCAGCTTCTGCGCAGACTGGGTGCGGACACTGCGTGTGGGGAAAGACTAAAGTTGCGCGAGCGTAAGCGCCTGCGCATGCGCAATGCCTACAGCATGTCGACCGCAGTGTTGTCGGTGTATGCGGAGCGCAAGTTCCTTTGCCTCCTTTGCAGGGGTTGTGGTGTCGTCGAAACGCCGCGATCTGATTGGCTCTGAATGAAGGATAGCGGGTAGACCTCAAGGCACCTTGCTGTGAGCCTCGAGGTCTTCCGACTATCCTTCATTCAGAGCCAATCGGAACTCGGCGTTCTAACGTCACCACAAGACAATACCTGCAAAAGAAGCAAACTAGCGCTTAGGATTGCCGGGGTGACAATACTTCTCTACAATGCCCCCCCCCCCCCCCCCAGAAAAAAAGAAAAAAAAAAAAAAGAAAAGTAAACACAAGTGTTACGTCAGCATTCAGTTGATTTTTGCTTGATATTTGTCTGTGTAGGCGTGGAGAGCTGTATTATAAGTGGCGACGTGCTGCAGCGAGGGTATGTACAAACTAAAAAAATAAAATACAAAATTGCCCCAAAAGAAACAAGGGTTATTTAATTTGTAGCTAAAGTCTCGTTCACCCCGGTGCCTACACCAAAATAACATTTCCTTAGAGGTTCCTCTGCAAAGATTAGGAACCTGGAGCGGTGTATAGGTAGGCTAGGCACTATGCATTTCTTTTACTGTCTGGCCCTATGCATAAGTAATATCTGCTTTTGTAGGTGAGCGCAATTTGTATCTAATATTTAACTGGATAAGCTTCATTCTATTCTTTTGTATTATATCCATAGTAGCGTTCTTTGCCCGGCCAGTGTATAATAGAGCGTCTGGCCGCTTTAATGAGAAGTCCTACCCTTCGCCACTGCGACTATAATGGTGCCCACCTCTTGTTCATGAAGTAGTAGACGATGGGGTTGTACATCGCGTGCGACATGGCCAGCCAGTACATGGCCAAGTACACATGCTGGATGTAGTCTACGTAGGCCACCTTGGGGTGATGAAAAACGTAGATGAAGTAGATGTGGTAAGGGAGCCACGAGACCGTGAAGAGGACAACCACCGTGAACAGCATCTTCACCACCTACGAGAGAGACAGGGGATATTTTGCGTCAGCTTAACTCTGAAATTGGGATGGTCAATTTGTTAGGTTTATTTATTTATTTATTTATTTAAGTACCCTCAAGGCCCTGGGGCATTACAGAGGGGAGTGGTACAAGACAAATTTGGAACACAAACAATATACAAACACAAAAAGCCAAGCACGAAATATGTAAAAAACAAAAAGTGCAAACAAATTAAGAAATGCATAAAACAAGGTAAACAAACAAAGAGAAATATTAACATAGGTAAGTAGTCAACGCACTTTTAAACAAGTCAAAGGATGGTATGTTTACTAATTGCGCGGGAAGGCGATTCCACTCTGAAGATGTCCTGGGAATAAAAGAGTTATAATAGGCTGAGGTAATGCAATGAGGAATTCCGACTTTAAATTGATGATCTACGCGCGGCGAGAGAGGTTCTTAGTTTACTTTTACAAATAATGAGCAATGAAGGAGCAATAGCGTATTCACTAGGTTTCCGCAACTGTAAGTATCATACCTACCATTGATTCTTTTTTTAACAATTTGGATTTTTTGTTTTAGTTCAAAAATGCTACTTAAAAAATCATCACTCAATTAGTATCGACCTTTCTGCTGGAGGCAAACGTATTAGAAAATCACACCGCCCTCCAAAACGTCGTTCTTGTTTTCGGTGTTTCTAAAACGGCGTTTTATTCGTTCCTATAGTACACGGTAGTAAGTGTTTAAAAGAAATGTATTGTCTGGTTAGCACAGGTCACGTTCGCTATGTGGACAAAGGTTTTGTGGACGAATCGACTAAACACGTGCATTTTTATCCGATTTCTATGGTGAACTTACACTATGAACGTTATTTGGAAAACGAAGGTGTCCACGTTAGCGGGACATCACGGTAGTGCGTAGCATACACTTTTTTTTTCAAGAGTGTAAATTTGCTGTAGGTATAACACAAAACGAGCAGCAACTTGCCACGCAGGGGAGGCCCGCATATCTCTCGGTTTTTATCTCTCTTCTCTACATAAAATAATAATACAAAAAAAAAGGGATTAAAGGCGCCGCTTTGTGCAAAATGTGTCGATTGCACACTCGCTGATTTTTATTTGAAGTTCGAGCGAAGTGGACATTACAAGCGCGAAGATGTTGTTTTGAACAGCGCCGCATTGAACTAATCTGTTTGCACCGGGCTCGCAAATGTGGCATTGGCTTTGCTCTTACTTCAGATGAAACAGGGTATAGCCCGGGACTTCGAGATGTGGAGTCAAGTGCTCACTTGAGCTCTCAGCTGCCGGAAAATGTTTTTAGAGGATATCACTCAACTCAGCCGTCTGTCGAATGACTGTTCCTGAAGAACTACAGCAGAAAAAAAAAGTTTACATAGAAAGCAATTATTTCCTACGACCTCAATCTATTCCAGAAGACATACGTAAAAAAAAAACGTTCCAGGTCATTAGGGAATTTGATTTTATAATATGTAATGCAGGAAAGAACAGAATAATGGCATTCCCCCTTAGTTAAAATTAATAAATAAATGTCTCACATGACTCACAGCAACACGATGAAACTTTTATATAAAGAACTGTTCCTTATACTAATTGATAAAACTTTTTGGAGTTTTAAATAGGGTGCGTGTTTTTTTTTAATTAGAAGGAAATACCGCCCACGTGAATATTTACACTAAATTCACGGTCGTTTCTAGCGGAATGTATTGTTGCGGTTGGCTTAAAATTGTTTCATGTGCAAAAAAAAAAAACTCTTATTTTTGTTTTTGTTTTCATAAAAGAATTTTTTTGAGCACCATAACAAAACGTTGCTCGAATACGTTTCTAAAAAAAAATTTGTTGTTTATGCGAACATTGTAAATTGTCTTGAACCTCGCACTACCGTATAATTTTCAACGTACATTTACAGTATGCACACTCTGGATGTTTCATGCAGTTATTCCCAAAGCCCAATTAAACTAATTTTCCGCATCGGAAACTCTTCTTTTGTGCAATTCGAGTCGTACTATAGAATGAACTTGATTTGTACTAATTAGGAAACTTAGAGAAAAGAGTGATTGCAAACTTGGGAAAGGTTGTTTTTTTTTTTTTTTTGTTACTAAATTATTGGAGGGCACCGAATGGCTGGAATTTAGAGGACGACAAATTAAGACAGAACGGAGTGTTCTAGTGATTACGCGGGGGGTCATTCTACTTTAAATACGAACGGGAGGATACCGAACGGTAATTACGGCGGTGCGGATCAATATTAAATATATAAGTACATTACGATTATTTTTTTAAATTTCATTTATTACATACTGCAGGCCTCTTGATCGGACCATGCAGGTGTAGGGTACAGTACACCCTCAAACAATTATTACAACGGCTCTCACAATTATTATTAATTAAAACTTTCATAACTAATAATCAACGGCAAATAAAAAAAACGTTTGTACGACATATGTTCAAAGAGGTTAACAACACTAGAGCTCAATGGCAATACATAAAAAGGATGATCATCTGGTGCTTTACTAAAATTCGGGGCTGTGTATATATTGTAAGGGAGGGCGTTTCAATCTGATATGGTGCGTAAAAATATGAAGACATAAAAATGTTGCTTCCAGCAAATATCGGTTAAAAAGGAAACTGATGGTGGTTCCTAGTGGCTCTGGAAGATAATGAGGTTCAATACGAATTGGAGTCGACGTACGGATTGTCGTAATAAAAAAGGTACAAGAACTTCAGTCTTGCAATTTTCCTACGCTGTTCTACGGACATGATATTGTTTGCCGCTATTAAGGAGGATGGGGTGACAAGCCTCTTGTACTCTCTATTAATAAAACAAACTGCTTTCCTTCGGAACATCTCAAGTTTTGATGCCTCTTTTTCGGCGTTCGGATCTCAGATTATATATAACATATTCTATTTTTGACCTTAAGCAGGAGTTGTACGGATAGAGATTAAGGGAGCTTGGAACATTTTTTAACTTGCGTCGTAGAAAACCTTATTTTCGAAAAGCTGAGGAACTGATATTTTGAATATGTTTGGACCATCGTAGATCGCATGTTAAGGTTTCTCAAATATATTTGTATTTATTGACTTCGGTTACTCTAACAATATTTACCTGATATGTGAATTCCAAAAGTTTAATTTTTCTGGTCATGCGTAAGTAAACAGTGTTCGCGGAATGCAGTTGCATTTCCCACTCATTACATCTATCGTCAACTAGAGTAAGAGAAAAATGAAGCATTTTTGGTCATTGACAGCGGATATGGTTTTAAACAAAACACAATCATCTGCAAATAAGCGGATATTAACGATCGTACTCACAGTTGACACAATATCATTTATATAGATGAGAAGGAGCAGGGGACCAAGTAGACTGCCTTGGGGAACACCAGAGGAAATATCGAGTGTACAGGAAAAATGGCCTCCAACTTCAACAAACTGGTTACGATTGTATATCTGTGATGCGAAATTAGAGCGCAGCTCTTGAGGTAACGAATTTAGAAAACAAATATCTATATGAACTATCAGAAATACTATCAGCGTGAATGCGCTTCCGCGGCGACAAGCGGATACAAGTGCGTGCTCATATTGTTTCCGAGAGTACATATATACATACTGTTGCGTACGTTATATATATATATATATATATACATATATATATATAATAATATTTATTCTTAAAGAAGGAGGGGGTACTGAGGAGGAGGAGGAGGGGAAAGCGGAGGACCCTTCCCTCTTCTTCTCCTCTACCCTCCTCCCCCTCCTCCTTCTCCCGTCCTCCTTTTCCTCCGGCTATGCCGACGGCGACGCCAACGCCGCAAAACACGGGAACGAGTGCCAAAGAGCTGCGCTCTAATATTGGCAGCGACCTTTACCTTCAAAGTCCTATAACGCATGGAATGCGTTACAGGCAATGGTTGAGGGAATCGATGTGTCACGTGACGTATATTCGTCCGCTAAATTTAGCGGGAAAACTGAATTGTTGTATAGGCCAAGTGTCGGCAGGTCACGTGACGTCGTTTCCCCCCGCTAAATGTGACGGGGAAACTGGATTGGTATCTAGGTCAAAAGAAGTAAAGTTTCCTGCTGAATTTAGCGGATAACTGAATTGATGTATAGGTTACATGACGGCAAATTCTCTCTAAATTTAGCAGAGAAACTGAATTGATATTTTGGACACAGGCGACGTGCAGTTTTCTGCTAAATTTAGCAGGGAAACTGATTTGACGTAGAGGTCATGACTCGTCAATTTCCTTAAGGTGTATAGGTCACATGACGCTAGGTGACGCCACTTTCCCAGCTGAATTTAGTGGAAAATGTACGGACAGAAGGACGGACGGACAAAATTTTGAGATTGGGGGAGTCATGTTAAAAAAGATTTCATGCTTTAAAAGGCGAATCTGGTGGGTAGTAGGAATTTTCGAAATTCCGTCGGAGGACCAGAGTTTCTCATTAGGCCCTCGTTAGTCTAAACGTTAATCAGGTTATTTGTCTTTAACCCATAGGTAAATGTTTCTCATTGCTCTATTTTACCTAGGACAGTATGACTACTAAATCTATTTGTGTTTGTAAGCTGCAACAGAACTCTGACACGTTCTGAAGGTTGCAAAATTATCTCCTTTTTTGTAATCTAAATTGATGGAGGCTGAGTGCGCCCTTGTTATTCGAGCAGTAGACCAGCTTAAATTACAATTCTTATATTTCAGAAGGCTATGACTGTACCAGCTAAGGTGGCGCTAATAATATTAATGGTAATAAATGATCCTAAAATTGTACTGACGCCACAAACGTGGCGGCGGTGATTAGATTTGTATGAAAGTGGGTAACATGTCGTTTTATTGAGAGCGAAATTCGTGTATGGTTGTAGCTGACGAAACAGACTTCAGGAACCTTTCCATGAACCAGTAGAACCGTATTTATTATGAGCACCAGTTTCGCACCAGTTGCATTAATTTATTTTGGCGTGTTTGTCTTTAGTCGAGCATTTGAAAATCGTTCTTTCTGCATGATCA